GCCAAAACATATAAGCGACATGTTACACTCCCAAACATCTTTAGAAATGCTTGTTTTCTTGACTCGTTTGATTCTGTTGAAACTATTGTTTAAAATCTCATAATGTATGGATTTGTTAAATATAGTATAAATTAATTTACTGGTAGTTTGTTAGTGAGATGTTACAAATTATAGTGGGGGAGCCCAAGCCGGGATTTTGAGATTTACTCGAGCGCGACAGAATAAGGGGGGGGGGGGGGGTTCCACCTTTAGAAGAAGGCTAGGGCAGCAAAGAAAATTAACAATCGGCTATGACTTTCAAATCGTCAGTCTTGAATAGAAGCTCCTGGAGGGTTCACATAACATCCCTTCTCAGTGTCTCTTCCGCCCTTTTTTTTCTATTTCTACCCCTTCGTACCCCCAAGTCCCCCATTCTCCCTTCGGGGCCGTTCATAAAATACGTTCGCATACAAGGGGGGGGAGGGGTCTACGGCAACGTGACGTTCGTCGTTTATTAAAAAAAATTAAATTAGTATTTCTTTCAACTATTTTTCTTTCTCAATTTTCATCAAGATAGAAAATCATTTATTTCGTATTTAGTAAACATATAGACATTCAAACGTATATAGTTTTATTATACAATAACTTGTAACTTGATATATTTAATCATGTTTATTTTTCGACATCAGCGCATATTTATATATTTAAATTTTATTATAAAAACTAAATAAATATTTAAATTCTTATAATTTGTGTACTATCAATTGAAATTAATCATACTTGGGGAGGGGGGGTCTCCGTTTTTGTGACGGAATATTTCAAGAGGGGTCACAGAAAGTGTGACACAGCGTGACAATAGGGGGGGAGGGGGTCGGAAAAAGCTGATTTTAGCGTGACGTATTTTATGAACGGCCCCTTCCCAGCACCATGCAAAACGGCAGATTAATATTTTTCCGTCTTTGGGAACGTTACGTGAACCCTCTACGATTATTTAGACGTGACCAAAAATCATGGCCGATTGTTGATTTATTTTCTCTCCTACCTGTTCGTCTTTATGGGTATATTCCGTAATATATACCAGTATACCGGCCAGTGCTAATGACGTCATGAATCGACGCTATTGCACTGACGTCATAAATCGACGAAATATTAAAAATAGTGCGAATAAAGGAGATTTTTTAATCACCTCATCAATTGAAAGGAAATCTTTTTGTTCGAAAAAAAGAAATAAAATTCGAATGCATCTCACGCACGCTCGGTCATACGTCATATTCGTTTTCCCGGTAAAAATATGTTAGCATACCAGTACAATATGGCGTCGGATTCGTGACGTCATTACCACTGGTCAGTATACTGATGTATATTTCGGAATACACCCTATATAAAAGGCTCAGGAGCTTTACTCTCTTTCTCCGAAACGAAATTTCGGTAACGAACGAATTTTAAACGAAATTTCGCCATTGACTCTACTCTATTTCATTTTCGAACAGGCACATTAACTTCGGAACCATAAACAGATTTCGTGAACGAATGGAATGAGTCATGTTTGTGAATTCTTTTTATCTCTACTTTTAAGAAAACGGTTTTTTATTTGGAAACATTAAAGGTAGTTTAAGGCAAATTTTTTCATGACATTGAAAGAACCTTCTTTGACAGTATTAGCCGACTAATTTGTAGAGTTGATACAATCTACTGTATGTCAACCTAAATTTGTCGTTTAATACTTTGAAGTAATGAAATTACAATAAATAATAAAAAAAATGGTTTATTTGTTAATTTAACATGCTTAAAATGATTCTCGAGCTAAGCAGCTATTATTAAAAATACTCTTACAAGTATTTTAGGCTTAATTAAAACAAAAATCTAAAAACGAAAATGAAAAGGTAACACTTTTGATTTCGTCAATTTAAGGTTGAAATTTCGAACAATTATCTGTCAACTTCAACTTTTCTTTCGAAAGTTTTGTGAATTAGAGTAGAGGCTTGGAGAATTTAATTGTCAAACTATTTCGGACGATCGAATTTTCGAAATGAAAAGGAAACAGAGTAACAAACGTGCGAAATTTCGATCGAAATTTCGTTTTTCATTGAAATAGAGTAGGCCTCCAGGGGGCCAATCGCCTAACTGGATTGCTTTGGAAAACGCTATCGCTTACGATTTCATTCTGTTATTTCTAACCGCCGAAATACCTCACGCTCATTTTCTTTAACATTGTTATTACCAATGCAAAAGAAAAAAAAAGAGCGCGAGGCATTTGAAAACCTCAGGGGGCTAGAAATAACAAAATGAAATCGTAAGCGATAGCATTTTCCAAAGCAATCCAGTTAGGCGATTGGCCCCCAGGCATGGTGGGCGTCGTTCACAAGTTGTTGACATAAGGATGAGGGCGTTCATGTCGTTGTGCCGCGGCTCCCCTACTGTTATAAAGCTTCTGGATCGTTAGTTATTTTCAATCGTTATCATAATTTTCTGTGATATGAGGCATGAAGTTTAGGAGGGATGTAGCCGTAAGTTAGTTTCGCACTACGTTACTCATCAACAACGGTGACATATTTACTGTATATCCGGGCACTGCCACCGCGGCGGTAGCGTTATAGTCAGGGCTTGAAACCGGTTTCGAAAATACCGGTAAATAAAGGTTATTACCGGTTTTTAGTAAAGGTTTCGTTCGGAGCGCGTCCGAAATGAAAGCGGTACCTAAAACCTTAATAAACCGGTTTATTTATATTTTAGTTTGTTTTGTTTGAACTAATCAAGTCACAACTTGTTAATGCTCAGAGATTGATGCATTTATTGACACGATTGCTAGTGTCTAGTGAGTCAAGTTATTCATTTATTATCGATGCTGTCAGAAAGAGCGAAATGAAACCCTCTAAAAACCGCTAAATTGATTCAAAACCTATTTGATTTCGCTCTTTGGGAAAACCGGTTTTTTAAGGTTAGGGTAGAGTCAAACCTAAATAAAACGCTCCTACTGTACTTGGCACTGATTTAGGTTTGAAAATTAACCGGTAAACAAGCCCTGTTTATAGTATATCCTAAGGTAGGTGTACATCAATGAATATATTTTATTTTTTCTTAGAAAATATTTTTATAGTTGTAGTGTAGATATCGTGGCGGGCGGATGACCGCAGCGTCGAGAATAGGTATCGACTTTACAAAGTATCGCTCCGGGGAATAATCCTTTATTCCAATAACTTGTTGGAAATGGTATTTGTTAGTCGGCGCTGCGGTCATCATCAAGTGTATACAATTTTCTTATAAAAACCCGCACGGCGTTACGTAAAGATATTGTAGTTGAGCGTGTATTGTCGCTCTTGTAAAACTATTTTCTGATTGGTCCGCGGAGGTGGACACGTTACTTCTACGAATATTTTTAATTGCGACGCCTTGATTTCTGGTTTCTCAGTAATTTGTTCGTTATTGACACCAGGAAAAAGCGAATTTAGCTCACTGGATTCTCTTTCCTATTAGGTTAAGGATACTTTAATTTAAAACAATATTGTCTTAATTATAATTTAATTTTAATGATAATGGTTACTGTTAATGTTATAAATATCTTTGGAAATTAATTCTTCTAGTGAAATTCACACAATTTTGGATAATCTCCCAATAAGTATTATTATTAGAAATAAACATCATTTATTGGAATTGGTGTTTTATTCATCTCTTTGTCTCGTTCGAAATCTACTACACGATTGGTTTCGTTGTGCGTGGCAACTTCGATTCGCACGAAGTGTCAATATCAAATGACAACCTCGCTGCGCCGGCCTAGGGATGTCGAAAGTTGAAAAAAATATCGATATATCGATACTTCGATCTCTTAAAAAATATCAATATCGGCTTCGATATATCACGAAAAAAACATCATCATCATCATATATCGGACCAATGTAGCTCACGAAATATGACACGCGGAATAATAATGGAACGAAAATTATCTCCCTAAAAATAGACCCTATTTTCGAATGATGACATAGACAATACTAAATACAGCACAGATCACAGATATGTTGTATATCATTAATCTGAAATCCAGTTACGATTTTTCTAGATACGAATTTAGTTAGATCGTGATATGCCGCTAATAATTAAAAAAATATCGTTTTTGATACGAATTTCAATATTGGTTATTTTGTATCGATGTATCGATATATCAAATCAAAATATATCGGCAAAAAATATCGAACAAAAAATATCGATACATCGATATATTTTCAACAAGCCTACGCCGGCCGCAGTGTCGACTAGGGACACGATATCGAATAGAAAGTATCGATACTGTACTCATGAGTAGTATCGGTAAAAAAGTATCGTACTCGTAAAAGTATCGAAACAAAAGTATCGATACTTCAAAGTATCGAGTACATTTCATAGGGCCTTATCGGATCCTCTGTGGCCCGATGAGCAACCCCCCGCCCCCCCAGGTTAAAAATTGAAAGAAAAACAATCCAATTTTATTATAGTACGTATAATAACAGTAAAAGGACATATAAATTCACAAATTGCTATATTATATAATGAAAAGAAAATAGCTGTGATTTCTGACACTTAAAAAGTGTTCATTAATATCACATTAATAATTAAAATGTTACTTGAATCTGACACGCAGTTAACGGCGGCCATTGGCATGCTTCACTCATAGAAGAGGTTACGTCCGTCTTTTTTTCAGGTCCGTGGTTTCAAATAGGTATACACAGCACAGACAGAATAATAGTGTTACACTTGAATACATCAAATGCAGTCAAGCGAAAAGCACAATAAACGGCGAATCATCAATCACAATTCCTAACAATATGGTCGCTAAATAAATAACTATGAAACAAAACAAAGCGCAAAATAAACACAGTCACAGATTGGAAAGAATTTGAATATATCATAACAATATGAGGCGCTTGTCCAAATTTTAAAAGTATCGATACTTACTTGCCAAAAAGTACTCAATAAGTAAAAGTATCGAATACAAAGTATCGAGTACAAAAGTATCGGTATCGAAAGGAAAAGTACTTGATACCACAAAGTATCGATACTTCTTTCGTGTCCCTAGTGTCGACAAGACATTTGATAAGAGCCGTGGAGCTCTTTTGTTATTTGTATCACACAAATACCCAGCGTTTTACTGTGAGTAGTTGTGTTTTGTTATCAGTAACGCTCGAGCGAGGGGGCCGGTCACCCAATAATAAGTACAGATAAGAAAATCGAGCAATAAGAAGGCGTACCGCGCGACCGAGGTGAGTGAACTTTTTGCAGGTTAATGACCTACCCAAAATATTAAGACCGGTGCGTGCACCGGCAGTATTTTCGCTCAATAATAAAAATTACGTCGTGATAGTTTTATAAATAAGATGTATTTTGTTGAAATATCCTAATGAGTTTAAGTCGATACTGAAGTCTACAAAATTTTCTGTAAAAAACTGATATTGTCGGAGGTTTTTAAAACTGCCAGTGCCGTAGAATAGAATATAAGTAGTACTTAAATGTCTTTGATTGATGACGATATTACAACTGCAATATTTCAGAACAGTTCAGGTAATTTTATGTTTCGTCTGTTATGTATGTCTGGTATGCAAAGTAAACCGGTTGACCTTGATATCTTTGCCATAGGGTGACCCAGACACGTTATGTTATGACCTTGCCTTGTTGCCTCTCTAGACAGTTTTCACATTCGTAATTCACACTTTCCTACTCTATTTGTGTTTATATTTAGAATATATTTTCAAAAGGAATTAATTCGTAAATAACACGATCTTGAAATAAATATTTATCTATACTAATATTATAAAGCTGCATAGTTTGTTTGTTTGAACGCGCTAATCTCTGGAACTACTGGTCCGATTTGAATGATTCTTTCAGTGTTGGGTAGTCCATTCATCGAGGAAGGCTATTTTTTTGACGTGACAACGTCTTAAATTAGGTTGCGGCTGGGAGTCACTTATGAAAAAGTGTAACGCTCGGTAACGTTACGATGAGTTTAAGTTTACATGTACAATGTTTTAGTAAACAAAATATATTTCTATAGTTAAAATTTGTGCAATTCTTATTTTCATTCAATTCCTTGTTCCTATTGTGCAATTTAATTATATTCATATCAATAAATATTCTACCGAGAAAAAGACGTTGTCACGTAAAATCTTCGCCCGTAAAACCGACTTTACAGGCAACCATTTTTTTTCAAAATTAGGGATCCGTAATAAAATTGCTATTTTGTAACACAAGGTGTAAAATCGAAAACCTATTTTTGCGTGCGCTGCAAAAACTATTGACAATAGAACAAAATGATGTACTACGGGTTTGTAGATCCCATTAAGACCTACAAAAAAGTCCGCGAGAACATATATCTAGCTATCATGGTTTAATCACAATAACCGATTTTATGTTAAAGTAATTCTTAAATCGTCTGAAGAAAAAAAAACTACTTTAAATAGGTATGTATCGTAATATTAATCTTTATCGAAATTAAGCATTATGTTATGAATGAATGAAAAACATTTATTCGGAACAGACGTGGATACATATTACCAAGAGTATTTATGTAGAAGTAAAATACTTTTTGTTTCATCTCAATCGGATATTTCATTTAAAAGTTATCACGTGTGTAAGATGTTAAGAGTTGGTACCTATATATTTTATCTCGGTATTTCCACGGAAACGAGAAAAACGCGGGTGAAACCGCGGGGCACGGCTAGTAACGAATATGTTGTTTGTTACTGAATGGAAGCGAATAGTACAGTTATTATATTTTTATAATTACTTACATAGTGCAATAGAAAATATGCTCCAGTAACACACAGGTCTGGAACCTGTTGAAAAATTCTGTTGAGTTTCGGTTGCAATCGTCAGCATGGCCAACGATTACTAGATCGAATCTGGCCTATTACAGTAGTAGTGTATAAGTTGATCGCCTTTAGTAAAAAGCCATAAATTGTGAATCTTCGACTTATTTCTTTTCCATTAAAAAATTTCAAATCTAAAATTTGTCATGATACTCATGATCATAATTTATGAATTTACTGGAACTGGAGATTTGGCATACTTGAGAACTAAGAAAAATAAATTAATAACAGTAAATTATTTTATACCAATGTCCATATTTCTTAGTAACAATACACTTAAAAATTGTTTGTATATTTGTACAGAACAGACGCCGCCCTAATTTAATAATTTAATAATCTTGTGTTGTAAATAGTAGTCATAGTTAGTTATAAGTGAAATGTAAATTTATTGTTATTTTAATAAAAGAGTTGCGCAACATTCATTTCACGATAGGTAGGTACACACATTCAGTAACACAACGCTGTGCGAGACAGCACTATAGTCTCTCTCGCACAGCGCTAGGATAGGCCCACGGCCGCTATAACGTCGCACAAAGCGAGAATAGAAATAACACCGTGAGAGAGACAGCATTATAGGCTGTCCCTCTCACATTGCTCCGATAGGCGCACTAGCGCAGCGATATAGCGCTAAGTGCGAACACTTGTGGCCTACATAGGTAGTGACCAAAATAGCCTCGACCTCTTTCATCTTTATCTTTCATCTTACACCACTGCACATGCAACAAGCAACAAGCAACAAGCGCACTCAAGCTAAGAAAAGGGATTTCATTGAAGCTGCCAGCCCCATAGGCATCCGCACCCCATCCGCACCGTTTCGAACGGTTACAGGGAAGAGCGCCACAGACGCCGTTCGAAACATTTGGTCCTTCGCATTGCCGGATATCACAGAAGCTTCAAGATGCCCATCACACGGTCAAGATCTGGCACCACTCCGCTGCCGGAAACAGCTCCGCAACCGACCGTCACAGAAACAGCTCCGCAACCGACCGCTACAACACCGGCTTCACAACCAACTGCTACAGCGACGACGGCTACAAGAAACACCGCCGCGACGGAAACCGAAACGAACACCTGGGATCAGACAGTCTTCTCTTCAACGACCGAAGCACCACAGACAGAACAGGCTACCGAAGGTCACCCCACAGTACAGAAGAGCAAGAGCGTCAAATCTCGTCGTTCGCAACGGCTGCAGAAGGCAAAAGAAGAGCTACTCCGTCTGCAAATGGAATACGCCGCCGCCAGAGTCAACGCATTAGAAGACGAAGCCAACAGCGACTCAGAACCGGACTCCGATGAAGGCACAATCACAGCTCGACAGGAAACGACGCATCGAGTCACAAACTGGTTGAACCACAGCACGTCACAGATCGCAATCGCTGAAAAGCCGCACGAAGCCACGCTACAGCAACAGAGCTTCGTCGAGCAACAGTCTACACATCAAGCCCCGCTTCCAATACCGGCGGGAGAAGAAACCATGGCCATCGCAAAGCCTACACAACAACAGATCAACATCTCGGAGCTCGCATCCGCGATCGCACTCGCCGCAAGATCCGGTCAACAGATGGCACCACGCTCCATACAAGAGCTGCCGAGCTACAGCGGAACTTATCAAGAATGGCTTTCATTCAAAGCCGCCTACACAGAAACAGCCAGCATGCACAGCGAATATGAAAACCTCGCAAGACTACGCAGAAGCCTACGAGGAACAGCCAAAGAAGCCGTGGAAAGTCTACTCATGTACAACGCGAAAACAGAAGAAATAATGAAGACGTTGGAATCCCGTTTCGGCCGACCCGACGCAATCGCACTCGCCGAACTAGAACGACTACGAAGCCTCCAACGGCCAACAGACTCACCGAAGGAACTCTGCATCTTCGCCACCAGAGTAGGCAACATCATAGCAACATTGCAAGCTCTACAGAGGGTCTACTACTTATACAACCCGGAAGTCACCAAGCAAACCATAGAGAAGCTCACGCCTGCGCTACGCTACAGATGGTTCGACTTCGCCGCGGAAAACCAGACAGAAGAAGCAGACCTACTGAAACTCGCAAGATTCCTACGACGCGAAGCAGACAGGTGCGGTCCATACGCACAGCCCGAAGACTTCAAGCGCACAGTATACGAAACGCAAGCTCAGAGAAGACCGGCTCAGCGAACATACGCCACAGACGGCGACGAAACGCAAGCTCAGAGAAGACCGGCTCAGCGAACATACGCCACAGAAGAACAGAAGCCAGAGCGACGATGTCCAGTATGCGAGAAGACAGAGCATTCAATTACGAAATGCGACAAGTTCAAAGAAGCGGACTCCGACGCTAGATGGCAGTTAGCGAAAACGAAGGCGTTGTGCTACAGATGCCTGAGACCACGCGCTACCAAGCACACTTGCAAGCGCAAACAATGCAACGTCGACGGCTGCGACAGACTGCACCACTACCTACTGCATTTCAACCGCAAGAAAGAAAACGAAGAGAAAACAGAAGTCGTCACTTCGACATGGGCACCGACGAAATCGCAAGCTTATCTCAAGATCGTCCCGGTATGCATCTCCGGGCCAAAGGGCGACGTGAACACGTACGCACTCCTCGACGATGGCTCCACAGTAACATTGATAGACAGCGAAATAGCGAGACAAGCCGGCGCCGAGGGACCCGTCGACCCACTTCATATAGAAGCGATCGGAGACACAGAAGTAGAAGCCCACGAGTCCAAGCGAGTCACAGTTACACTCCGCGGATCAACCCACAGCTACAGCATACAAGCACGAACGCTCAACAACCTCAAGCTTTCGGCGCAACAGATAACAGATGAAGATATGAGAGGATGCCAGCACCTGCTCGACATACAGAAGAGACTGACGTACAGAAACGCAGTCCCAAAGCTGCTCATCGGACAAGACAATTGGCATTTGCTATTGGCCAAAGAAGTACGGCGCGGAAGACGAAGACAACCGGTAGCATCCCGCACACCACTCGGCTGGGTGCTACACGGTGCACACACGCGCACTCTGGGTCAACACGTCAACTACGTCAACCACGTCACCGATGCAGACGCAGACATGAACGAGCAACTAAGACAGTACTTCGCAATCGACTCCCTCACCATCGCACCGAAACAGCCACGAAACAGCGAGGAACAACGCGCGCTCGACACGTTACAGAAAAACACGCTACAGAGAGAAGACGGACACTACGAGACGGCGTTGCTATGGAAACAGACAGACTCATCGATGCCGCTCAATTATGAAAACGCACACAGCAGACTTCTCAACATAGAAAAGAAAATAGACAGAAACCCACAGCTGAAAGAAAAATACACCGAACAAATGAACGCACTGGTGAAGAAGGGGTACGCCGAGCCTGCTCCAGCACAGCCGACAAGAAACCGCACTTGGT